TGGGGAACTTTCCGTATCTGCGAACTGCAAACGTCTCCCCCTTGAATGGGGTACCCCTTGGATACCAAATAGCCCTGTCTTCACGCCTGCCCCCTCCGAAGCATGAGCTGCGACATTTTTCCACTCACAATTGCCCAGGCTTCACCGGCCAGCGCTGCCAAAAGTCCTCGAAGGCCTGGAAATAAGTGCCACAAAGCATGTGGACACGCGCCGGCGTGGTTGCTAGAACTTCTGGGTCCGGTGGGCTAACGAAGGATTTCTGGCATTTGAGTGGCGTGATTGTTTTCATATAAGGCTGAGACTTAGGCTGGGATATGCTGGGATGAAGTAATTCCATAACTACGGGTGGAATCAGTCCTGGAGTCAATGCTAAGTGGTTCCTTGGTTGGGATTCCAACTCTTGGGGCTGAACCTGCAGATGGGCAAGGACATTGGATGTACCTGAAACTTAACGTGAGGTTAGCAACCTCTTGGTGCAGTCTGGTGCAAGTTTTGCCCTGCTTTGTGATTGTTTAGGGCTGGGACCCTGATGACTTGGCTACAAGATGCTACAAGTAGGTCTCTGGATCAAAACCGGACTTCTAGAAGTCCTCCACTGCCATCAACGGAGACTACCGGCTGATCATGGAAGAAAAAGGTAGGTATCTAAATCGCAGCAGGTAGGGCAGGGCTCCCCTCTAGCTATGCTATGTTGCAGGCCGAGTCATCCCAAGGCATGCTTCCCGAAAGGACAAACATATGCCAACACGTCCCGGAAATAGAAACCAACAAAGACCGCTGAAATTCTATGGCTAGTGGCTAGTGTGCTGGCTGAAGGACTAACATGAAGAATTTCAGATGGGGTATCTGCTGTGTCTTCAGGAGCTGAGTTGAGAGGAAGAGACTAATGAGCTGATAGTTGTGAGAATGTCAAGCTGTACTGAACCAACCTCCCTCCAAAAACATCCGACCACCATCCAAGACCTCCTCTTGATGAATAAACCACCTGAATTGGAACATCCTCCTCATCTGCGGTTTATTAGTCTACATTCCGAAGATTCGACGCTTTCCGGACCGAATCTCCGCCGGAACGTGCGGATGATTCACGGACCGGCGACCCCACGGAATCGGTGTTCCACCCGAACTCTCCACCTCTTGGATTAGACCAACAAAAAACCACTCACTCCGCGGAATGCGGAAGGTTGGGCAGGCGAATCCCGGTGAAGGCTCGCCGGGGGCGGGAGCTTCACAACCTTCGAGGTGGTGTGGCCTCGCCCGGAGGACTCCGCCGCCTCTGCAGAGGCTGCAGCACAGTGGAGCAAATGAGCTCCAGGGGGCTGTGTGTGGGCCTGGGGCGCCACTGCGCTTCACCCGGCCACCGCGGTGGCCGGGTGTTGAGGGCGGCCGTTGGGCGCCACCAGGGAGGTTCAAAGAGAAGCGGCATGAAGCTGGGACCGAACATGTATCGGCTGTGTCGTGTAAGCTGCAATCGTCTTTTTGTTAGACCCCCGAGTTGATGGGATTACGAGTTGCTGGGTCGCTTGTTGGGATCGTATCAACATCGATGATTCTTCCTTTCTCAGAGCAGCTTGGGACTGCTCACAGTAGTCTGGCGAGTTGGTTCCAAGCGTCTTGGGTATTCAACTGCGTCGGGATCAGGACTGTATGGAGGGGGGGGGTATGGCATGTTCTACAACAAGTTCATGATGCTCTGCGTGACAAATCGTTACAGGCATGCGGCATGCTGACCTACATGGGCCCGTGTTTCTTTACTTCGGGGTCGCACACGGAGTGTCAGGGTCAAGGAAGCTCAAACCAACTTGAGTGGCAAAATCCATAACGGAAATCTGTCCATGGGAGTATGGTGTGGGTGTGGTACTGGGCGTGGTCCCTGTAGCCTTCGGGGGGCCATGATGAAGAGATCATTAAATGTTGAATGGTTCACCTGGCTTTGTATGTCTAAATCCCTTATAGTGAACAAATAAGTAACTATTAAGTATACTAATAATACCAGCATATAGGCCCCAAACAGTTTCAGCTGGATGTTCTGCGTCAACTCCTTCAATTCCAATGAATGTAGGGGAAAACTCGAGGATGATATCAAACGCTGCACCGCTGCACCACAGTTGCATTCAATATATAGCCACAGCCAAACCCCACCCGGATCAGTCGACCAGGTGAAGACAGGCCACGAACCCGGCACAGGCGCCGTCTGGCGCGGTGTGAGCGCAACGGCGCGAGTGCGGCGCGAGTGCGGCGCGAGTGACAGCAGAGGGACACCAGGAAGCACAAGAGGAGATCGCTTCGCGCGGCACCCCGGCAGGATAACAGGACAACACACAGGGCTCAGGCACTGCCAAAGACTGATGGCGTTTGCGAAGAGAGAACCCCAAGAGTAAACCGTTTGGGGAACAAAAGCGGTTGATCAACACCAATAAATTAACTATAGTATTTATATAAGTATATTATATATATATAGTATACAAGTCACTGGACCAGGAAATCCTCTTCATCACTGACCGAACCACATCAACATCACCCAACCCCCTCCATCAATGACCACATCCAAGCAGCTGCCAAGCCCGGCTGCCGGGCACGGCTCAGCAGTTGCCGTACGTTCTCGCCTGGGCGGTGCCAATACTTTCCAACAACAGTAAGACAACCAGAAACAGGCTACCTGGAGTCTCAAAGTACCTCGGACAATGGGTACAAGCACCTGTTTTTTTGTAGGGTCATGTCCCATTTTCTAGGGTACTTTCGAGTACATGTATTATGGCAGACATATCGTGAACTATTTTTGTTAAGCTCTCAGGACCCCCAAGGGGACAACAGTGGCAGAAATATCATCCACCAGTCATCCACGAATATGGCGTGCCATGGTGTGCTCGTGGACCTGGAAGTGGTGACCACTCTTCTTTTTTCGAGCGGAGGATGGTTCTTCGTTCCACTTCCATGTTGCTGAGTCCAATCCAAGGGCGAACTTTCAAGTGACCTCTGACCTCATCCTGGGATCTCACAAAGTTGAAGGTCCTGGTAGGCTGGATTTTGGGGCAGTCATGGGCAGCCTGCGTTATTGAACACAATGGGGATAGGGGAGACGGAAACCAAAAAAAAGAGTTGGTTCGTAGTCAACACATGTCAACACGACGGAGAAACAAGGTGATCCAAAAGCCTGGTTTCAGCTGCTGGTGGTTCTTGATAGTCAGCACAATGAGATGAAAAGCAGGCCTTACTTCAAAGAAACGGTGAGGGCAAAGCTATAATGCCATCACATCCATCACCACCGGCCAAATGGGAGGCAAATCCAGTCAAGAAACCTTTTTTCGACCCCAGTGCATCCCGGGCTACGACTAGTAAGGAACCACTAGTTGACCTGGAGAACTGAAAGTGTTGGAGGGTTTGGTGGCTCAGGGTCTTGTGCAACGCGGGTCGCGCCTTTTTGCCTTCGGCGACGAAGACGATGGCAGCCGCTCCGTCAACGTCGCTCCCGTCGCTGGAGTGGGCAAGAGCTGTTCGGCGACCAGTGTCATTTCCAAATGTGGAACAACCGTGGCACATCATCCCATATCCTTCCACATGCTAAATGCCAATGATTCTCATTTGTGCAACCTGTTTACACCTGACCTTCTGGTGCTTGGAGGCCGGAAGGTAAGAAACCTCTTGCAGAAGTTTGCCCCACATGGAACAAGGAGACTAAAGTGACTAAAGATACTACACCAGCAGTTCCAAAGGAATTGCTTTTATTCCCATCCAGTGGATCTTCTGGGCCGACTTCCTCCGTTCGGAACCGGCATCCCGACATAGAACTGCTGATGCAGGCGTCTGACGCACCATTCTTCCCGTTTTAAACATCTCCTATTTGCAGGTATCTAAGCTCTGTGCCCCACGGTGTGCCGTCTTCCAACCGGATGCTCAATGGAAGTTGTTCATGGTTGGGATGGTTCTATGCTTTGGAGCCGTTCATGATGGTTCCATAAGTCATGTTGTTTGGTCGTTTCGCCTTTTAGCCCCTCCTCATACTGTGGATTTCAAATCAGTTGATATCATTCTCATTCACCACCGCGGCCGAAGCACACGGTCGTGGCTCTGTCTGTTTTCGAGCAAGGTCCCCTAGTGTACCGGTCCCGTGGGCCCGTTGAGCCCGTTGGGCCCGTGGTCCCGTCCGGTCCTGTCCCGTCCCGTGGTCCCGTGGTCCCGTGTCGCGGTCCCGCGGTCCCGGCTGCTCCAACTTCTTTGCGGCGAAGCGTCGCCGAGGCGGGGAGCATTGTCGGAAGCAGGGAAGAGTTGAGGGCAGAAGTCACATGGGTCGAAGGAGAAGCTAGATCGAAATATACGGACTCTGTGTTGCCTTGTCGGATGGGTTACATTTAGTTCGATGTCAGTGTTTAACGTGGCTTGTGAACAAGCTCGTTGCACGTCTTCTCGAGCCAGCATGGATGTTCAAGATTCAAGAGCCATACAGGAGCATTTGAATTAAGAGCAGAGCTGGCTGGGAAAGCACAGAGAGGGAGCAGCGTTTTCGCTTGTAAAACGAAGTACAGTATCAAAGGCGAACTTTTTTTCGTTGGCATGGAAGGTGGTGTGCAGTTTCCAGATGGTTGCCCGTCGTGCGGCGGGGCTATGACTGTTCACCGTTCGGTTCGTGCTGCAGTCTTATTCCCTCATGGGTGGGAACCCATGGAGCACAGAAGCCAGCGGTGCAGCAAGAAGGTGTGCACACAGTTTAGAAAGCTGGTGTGGCACAACTACGTGTCAGACACAAATGGTGTGCACAGGTTCTGTTGGCCGGCAAATACCAACATGCAGTTTTTTTTCCTGTCAGCATCATGGGGTGTGTCGACAAGCTGGTTGCGCCAGTTTTCGAGAAGACTAGTGCAGCGTGGCTGCGGGCTTAGTCGTTTTATTGCATTGATGTCCCCGGCAGCCAGCTCTACTTTTTTCATTGGGGATCTCGATCTAGTGGTCCCATAATGCTCTCTAGTTCCTGCCGGAGTTGGAATTACACAGCCTGAGGTTCCAGTATGTATCTTGGTCGGGCGAAGCAAGTGTGCACGCAGCTGATGCCAGGGCCCGTGGCCTTGAAAGCTTACCACCCCCGACAGCCCGTACCAAGTTGTTCCGTGTTTGGTGCTACTGGCGCTTTGCTGCTTGGCTGCGTTGCTGTGTTCCAACTTCCGGAGGCCCAGAATAAGAATAGCCGGCTCCCCTTCTATTTCCGATTATTTTTGGGTTCTGTTTTGGAACACATGTCCATGACGACCATGACCTTTGTATCTGTTGAGTGGGCTTCTGTCTTGATTGATTTTTACGCATTGTTGCTCGACGCGGACTTCCAGGTTGTTCGGATGATGCAATTCCGGGAGCATGACAGCGAGACTCCTGTTGCGCTTGTCAATCTGCTGGCGCCCTTTGCCACGACTTTGTCGTCGGCGACATGGTATGACTCCTTTATGTTTGATCGTCGTTTGCAGGGCGCTGCGGGCCGACATTTGGATGTATCGACCGTTATCATGGACGGTAACTTCAAGCTGAATGGCAGATCTTGCGGAAGGCCTTGCGCAGAAATGGTCCATAGTGCTGAGCTGGGCTTGTACACTGCTTGTCCATGCAGCAAGAGGCCTTTGTATCGCAAACGTAGATGTGCTGACCATGACCGGAGTGATGCATTGGAGGCGCCTTTGGATGAAGAGGCAGTAGTTGCTCACAGGCGCCCCCCGGGTTTTGATGAAAGAAGCGTCTGCACATCCCTACGATGTGTTACTCAAACCCATCGATAGTGTTCTCACTCAGACGGCCTCAAGCGTTACTGGACGTTGGGTTCCGGCAAGCCAAGCCAGTGAACGGCAGTTATGGGAGTATTGGCAACAGCAAGAGTCCACTGGGTATGTCAACATGAAAACGCCTGCAAGCACGTTTGAAGGCATGACTTGTCGAACTGGCAAAGAGTCGTCTGGCAGCCTCCTATACAAGAGGTTGGTCCGGCAGGGGCGGTTGGGAGGAGTGCTCGTCGCTTGCTTGAGCAGCGGCTATGTGTTGCACGTTTTTCCATTCATTGGCACGGAGACAGTGACTCTTCGTTACTTCTTCGTTGCATCTTTGAAGAAGCTTGGCAAAAGAAGTAATGCAGCAGTTTTTCCCGTCTAAATACAATGAGGCTAGAGTGCGAGCAGGCAACTCTTCCGCATGCATTGTTTGTAACCAATGTTAGTGCATGATGGTGATGACGTGGTGTTGATGGAGGTGAGGTTTGGCTGGGGTTTGCGTGTGTGGTCCCCACGTCCTGCAGGGGGTGGTAGCCCTGAGGGTGCGTGCGGGTCCACCACGTCCCCAGCGATGATGATGAGGTGAGGTTTGGCGGGGGTTGCGTGTGTGGTCCCCACGTCCTGCAGGGGGTGGTAGCCCTGAGGGTGCGTGCGGGTCCACCACGTCCCCAGCGATGATGATGAGGTGAGGTTTGGGCGGGGTTGCGTGTGTGGTCCTCGTGTCCTGCAGGGGGTGGTAGCCCTGAGGGTGCGTGCGGGTCCACCACGTCCCCGCCCATGATGATGATGATGATGATGATGATGATGATGATGATGATGATGATGATGATGATGATGATGATGATGATGATGATGATGATGGTGATGGTGATGATGATGATGATGATTGCAACGTCTCTTGAAGACGGTGTTTGTCTTGGCCTAGGAGCCGTTTGGGTGACGCTTTGAAGTGCGTGGTGCACGACGACAGCTGCCACCTTTTGCGCTTTGCATTGAAACATCGTGCGCACTCTCCATTGACGCGAGAACTTGCGCAGATGTGTTGGGCTTTAGACCGCTTCCATTTGCGTGGCCACACGGACAGCTGGTGCAAAAACCATTGCCACCCAGATTTGTTTCCAGAAGTGTGCGCCAATACGAACACCAGTGCTTGTGAGCAAGTGAACTCTTTGATCGGGAGGCACAAATTCGTGTACCGTCAGATGACGGCACCGTGCCGGCGCTTTTTTCTGCAAGAAGTGATGGACTCACGCAACTTGCTGACCGGAGCTCGTGGAAAAAGTGCTCTGGAATGCCAGGGCATGCTCAGGAATTAGTTTGTCTTTGCAGCAGGGGGGCAATATGAAACTTCAGCGTCATGTGGCCCTTGCAGTGTACATGCGTGTGAAGGCCTTGATTGGGAATATCCAAGTCGGGCTCACGGCCAGACAAACTGACACCTTGCATTGTCTTGGACAGGTCTTGCAGGTAAGATTGGAGCAGAGGCGCGAGTACGGGCAGACTGTGACAGTGCTGGGGTGACTTTGAATTGCGTATGTCTAAATCGAATGGCTCTTGTTTTCAAGCCTGTGAGCCCGTGTGGGTGGTCTCTCAGTGGTCACTAGGTTCTTGTGTCTTTTGAAAGCAGCTATCGATTCGGCGTCTGGTTGCCAGGCTAGCGGCTAGTTCTCTGCGCGGCTGCGCATCGCATAGCCGAGGGCCTAGTTATTTTCTGTGAAAACAACAGCAAGAGCTTTCAGCGATCAATTCGTTTCTCCAATCATTGTTTGCGTAGCGTGAAACATGGAAGGGCATGGAGCAGTGTTGAAGAACGACGCATGTGTGTTCTATTCACCATCAGTGCGCAAGTTTCCTTTTTGTAGGTGTTTTGCGTGGCCCAAGCAGAAGTTAAATAGATGAAGCATGAGCCGGGAGTCAGCGCCCAGTGCGCACATTGCCAACCTGGTAGCGTCGCATGAATATGTGGACAAGCACTTTGAAGTGGAAAGCATCTATGGCCCGAAAGGAGCGAGCATTGTGCGTCGCTTAGCGGCGCGCGCCGCTCACCACCCAGGTCCTGTTGGTCTTGCGCTCCAAGTTGGGTTGCTGGCAGCAACTAACGGTGCAAGCGTGTCAATTTGGCCAGGATCTGTGTGCCCTCTCTCAGCCATTTGTTTGAACATCAATATGGTCCAGACCAGAAAGTCTCAAGTCTCAAGCCTGATCCAGAAGATCTCGGACATTGTCCAGCAGAGTTGTCGCAAGAGAGCGTTGGAAGCCAATACCGGAGTGGAGCCAGGCAAGTTGAAACTCAAGAGCTGCACCCTGACAAGCTTCACGGAAGCTGCTTTGTGGGAGCGCTGTGGTGCAGATTGGCAGCAGTGCTCCAGTGGACATTTTGCTGGTCGAAATCACTATAGCACCTTGCTCAACTTAGACGAGAGTTACAAGTTTCTGCGCTACCTTGGTTTGACGGCAGGTGGCAAAGGAGATGGTGCTGTTGTGTCACATGCCATGAGAGCTTTAAATGCGCATGAAATTATTCACGTTTCTGGCCACGCAGAACATATTTCTCTTTGCTAGCGGCTTCTCAATGTCAGTCTTCAGTTGAAACTTTTCTAGTTCATCAACATCCCATGGAGATGGTTCTGCAGTTGAATTCAGTTTCTTGGGTCAGAGATCGATTAGAACGATAAATAAGTATTCACAGATACCTTGCCATCATCGGACGGGGCAGGATGCGACACTACCTTTGATGCGGCTTCGGAGCTCAACAGAGTTTTGCAGACAGGCCGATGCGCTGTCCAGTTCAAGTCAGTTCAGAGTTTTGAAGACTCTGGGCCCATCGTGAATCTGGCTGGTGTGGGGAACGCGCATCCATCTGCGTTCTTTGACGTCATCAACGGCAATGCAGGAAGCCATCATGTGGCTTGCGCTGAACGCTTTTTGCTGATCACCGGCAAGCCAGTGGAGCCTCACAGTCCACTTCCTCCAGGTCTTGATCTCCCTGAAGGATTTCAACAGTGGATCTGGGCGCCTCTATTAGAAAACATGTTGGTCCCTTTGGGGCTACCTGGCGAAGCCATGCAAGAAGAGTATGCTCGGCAAACATACGAGCAGGCGACAGGTGAAGAAGATGAGGGTGGCTCTGATGTTTTTTTGCCTTCTCCGCATGGCTACATTGTGACTCTCGCAGACGGCGTGGAATCCCGTTTACGTTTCAGGGTGGTACGGGATGCAGGGCACACGTGGCGCCGTCCAGAGCTGCGGTTCCCGAATCGCAACGTTCCGCTGGCATTGGAGGAAGACGTGCCATCGATGACCTCGCGCGTGCTGGCCTACTTTGAGCAACGGCACAGGGTGATAGAACTGTCGCCAGCTGCCAGGGCATTGTTTGTGGCTTTCGAGGCCACATACAATGTCCAATCCGCTGTCCACAGGACGGCAGAAGAGTCGGCTGGGCTTTAGGCACAGCCCCTTGGCACATTGCTGTTCTGGCTTGCTGCAATTTGATCTTTGAGCTGGCGATTGAGGCTGTGCCTGCAACAGGGGACCTGAAGGTGGAGGAGCGGCACATTCTCAGAGCTTTCGATCAGGTGCAATTATCGCACGGCATCGTGAACTTATGGAAAAGCAAGATTCCCATGAGCAGCCAGACTGAGAGGCCTGATGTTGGTCCTGCTGCTGCGGCTTTGACTCGCGAGCAGCGTTTGCTAGCTGCGTGTCAAGCTGCGCCTATCCCATCCCAAGTGCCCATCTTCGAGCCAACGCAGGCTGGTGTTGTGGAAGAAGAAGCCGGGGCTCCTCAGAGTCCAGACAAAGGTGCATGCCCGGCTGTGAAGCCTCTGACCGCGAACGACCGCGAAGTGTTGCCCATGACAGTGGGGTATGGGCCCGACGGCACTAGCGTGCAGGATCCTGCTTTGGGACCAGTGTTGCATCCAGATCGTGTGCTCGGGCTGTAAATCGGACCGATTGTCGTTCTATATACACTGTTGACTAAGCATACAGCTGTGAAACTAAACGGAGAAGAAGGCAGACATAAAAATGCTGATCAATATGCAAGAGGGTTGTTGTTTTCTAGAAATGAGGATTGTTGATGTTTTGATTTGAAACCCATCCCTTTCAGAAGCTTGCCTCAGGTGATTATGCAAAAAACACTGCTCCGTGGCGAAACAACTATCTATGGTCAGCGAGTGAGCGACTCCATCAGTCTGAAGGAGAAGAAAGATGGCCAAGTGAAGTACTCTCGCTGCAGCCTGAGGCTGGCTCATTGGGTGGAAGTTATGCGACGCGGGTTGGAGCAGGAGCGCATTGGCACCTTCGATGATGGAGCAACGTGCCTAGAAAAAAAGAACCAACCCCGTCTGGTTTTGAACTTGCCTGCGAGTGACAATCGGGCAGCTGTCGTGGAATACCACAACCGGCTGATGAGATTGTGCTCCGTGCCATACGAAGCGGTGATCCAGAAAATTACTGCCAAGGCAGGCCGTGGCATCAAGCGCAAGGGTGCTTCTTCCGTCAAGGACCAGGCTGATGACGAGAAGGTTGATGCTACTCCGCAGATTCAGGGCGACAAGTCTCAGAGTGCGAAAGAGAGTACGACAAGTCGGGCTGAAAGTTTAGGCTTCAAGGACTGCTGAGATGACGTGACGTGGTCCGCGCAAAAAAGCACAGCTAGATGAGACACTGCAAGCGCATGGAAGACATGGCGGTTGTAGTGCTAGAAGAAATTCGAAGGCCCCTGGGAACAAAAAGGTGTGTACACAAGGTTCCATACCTAGGCTCCGTGGCATGTAGAAACAGTGCTCCGAGTTCCGAGTAGACTTTCCGTGCGGCCGAGGTGTTGCGCTGCCAGCAGATGCGCGACATGGCAAGCAGAAGAAGAAGAAGAAAAACAAAAAGAACACATAATATTAACATGAAGGAAGTTCAACGCAAAGGAGAAGACAACGAAACGAAAAAACGGAGAGCAACCCATGGAGGAAGTCTTAGGAGGTACCTCAAGGTCACCCCAGTCTTTCCCCAACCAACAACCAGCAACCAGAACAACAACCAACAACCAGCAACCAGAACAACAACCAACAAAAAGAAGAAGAAGAAGAAGAAGAGAGGAGGAGGACACCGCCAGCAGCAGCAACAACAAATATCAACAACAAATAGCAACAACGACACCAACCACCAACGAACAACTAACAACCAACTAACAACTAACAACTAACAACAAACAACAAACAACAAACAACAACAACAAACAACAAACAACAACAACAAACAACAAACAACAAACAACAAACAACAACAACAACAACAAACAACAACAACAAACAACAACAACAACAAACAACAAACAACAAACAACAAACAACAAACAACAACAACAACAACAACAACCTCAACCTGTGGTCCCGTCGGTTCCGTGGGCCGGTGGGCCCGTGGGCCCGTGGTCCCGTCGCGGTCCCGTGGTCCCGTTGCGGTCCCGTGGATGGGCCCGTCCACGGTCCCGTCGGTCCCGGGGTCCCGTGGGCCCGTGGGCCCGTGGTCCCGTGGTACGAGAGTAGACTCTTCTCCTGTTTTCCAGCTTCAGGGGGCTGGTGCAGAAGAGAAGGGGGTTTCGTTGGACGGCGGAAAGCAATGACCTAAACCCAGCCATCACCAGCAGCTGAACATAGATGTAAGTACGCACCACCTGGGTTTAGAACCTTTTAGGGCCCTCGGTGTAATGGGTTCTTGAGTTAAGCCAGCAAAAAGCACGGTGCTACTCACCGTGCAAGCTGTTACTGATGTTGGCCGACTCCAAATGGTCTCAGTAGCAAGGAGAACCCCCGCGTCCGGTGGGTCACCTCACTTCGCGAAATTCTGCAGCTAGTGGTTCATCCGCTAGAGGTTCTCCCACTTGAAGCAACATGTCCGAACCAAAGAGTAAAACCATGGAAAGCATTGTACATTTACAGTATAGTAAAACGATTTGAACAGCTTTTTCACCAAAATGATTTGAGACCAAGTGTATATCATAGTCTTGTAAATTCTAGCAATCCTGACAGGGTGGCACCCGCAACAAATACCCAGCGCAGTCTCTGGACATCTCCATGACCAGGCCGGCCATCCCCCAATAAACATGAATGATACCATGATACCATTGTTGTTCATCTGATACTCCCTGCAAATCATCATGGGATCCGAAAACCACGGGGTTGTAGAGGAAAATGCTTGAAACCACCGACTACTTCACCAGGCTTCTTACCAATCTTGGATTCTACGTCGCCTCGGGCTCCGCCAGGCCCAATTCAAACGAACATTGAAGAACGCCACCGGTGCGATGACAACGGCAAGGTGTGATCAAAATCATCCAAACATGCTGCATGATGGCTCCCAGATTGCGAATGATTTGGGGTCTTAACACCTCAAACATGGGTGTGGGTCAAGACCCTGGTCCACCCTGGTTGACCCCTGAAGATTGAACAAATCTATCGAAAAGGGATATCAACCTTCGGTAACGGTGAGGTTTTGAGCGACCCACACCCATTCATACTCAGTCAAACCACGGTGCCAACACCAAACCACTCGGGTCTACCTCAACCGGTGCATGAGGGGTGAAAGGAGATTTCACCTGCGCGAAGCTGGCATGGGGTCAGGACTATACCAGCTGCTTCCGGGCTAGGGGTCCTGGCTGGATATCTCCACACGACGACGTAAACAGGTCTCCAGACAGGGCACGCCGACAGGAAGCACTAGGTACTTATACTTTTGGGTTTCTCCTAGTACCAGCAACAGTGGATGGTGAGGGTTAGGTTGCAGGCCTTGGCGGCCTTTCTCTAATATATAGTTAACTGTTTTTTTTGACTGTTGCAGGTCATGGGACAATCCCAAACTATACTACTGTTGGTTCCGTAGCTCCACTTCGATAATGTTTTCCCAACGGCTCAGCTCACGTCCTCACGACCACTTCAGGTCATCCCGATTCACTTACTCGGCTGACATGACCACTTCAGGTCGGCATGTCCGTGCTTCGCAGGTCTTTCTTTTTGGCTTCCCCAGCACCAACCATTCTGCTGTGCAGCTCAAAACAAGAAGCATTGCAGCAAACGGCTGATCAAAACAGCCAAACATCAGCAAACCCTTGGTCGATTTGGAGCCAGTACATCATGTCTCTAGCGCGGCCTTTGATACGCCATCTAGTGCGTGGACGTGTATGGCCATTGCAGTCATCATGAGTGGGTTCGTTCGCCAGTGGTGGCACCTTCGCCTGCTTGGCAGGCGGGGATGACCCAAAGAAGCAGCATCGTCGAGAAGCAAACAAATAAAACCACACCTACTGTATCACCTAACAATTCCTCCCCATGAATTTGGTAAGAGGTCGATGATGCAATAATTCAAAAACTTAAACGGTATTGTCGGTATTCTGTCACATCTTCTTAAACTGAAAGAACACAAACAAAAAGCATGCATTGCGGTCCTGCAATGCAATGCCGAGCAAATGGCTGTGATTGCCCAAGCACTGTGTTAGACTGGCATGCTTCTCACTTTAGGGATCTTTAGGGTGGTTACATGTGGTTACCAAAGACTTACCCAAAGAGTATAGGCATGTATCGGCGGCAACCAAAAAGCGTACATTCTAGTCCCACGGAGTGTTTAGCTTCACCAAAGGCCGAACCTGAGGACCAATTCCAAAGAAGCAAGGTTTCACCACGTTTCACCCCATCTGGAGCTATAACCGATTTGGGGAACCTTCATGACTGGATACACGTCGGCCACGTCGGCCACGTCTTCCAATTCTCAATGATGCCGCCACGAGTGTCACGAGCCATCCAGCAACGGTGCGTTGGAAGAGGGGGAGGGTCGGCAGCTTGGGCCGAAGGCATACTCTGAGTGGACGTTCAAAGAACAGGTGGCCCCCACATTCTTTGACGATGGGTGGCTCCGTCCATGAACACCTTGATAGATCTCACTTCACTCCACTATAGTTCACAAGGCAAACAACAAGAATGGTAGAATCGCATGTGCTTCAGCCCCGCTTCGGCCCAATTTGCCTTCAACTTCAGAAATCCATCGACAAACAACCTCACCTCACCTTGAGCTTTGTGGACGATCCTTGCTGAAGCATCTTCTGCTTGAAAACAAACGCAGCAGTGGCGGTCGAATGCAACATATACATCAAGCACCTTGTTTCGTAAATAGAGAACCTGGTGCTTGGCATGTATAACCTCTATTGCTGATGGTCTTGGCATTAAAAACGTAACAGGAGAATGGTCTTCCAAACTAGCTCTCGCGGTTTCTCCATTGGCTCTTGCAAAATCACGCCCCGTATCCTGACAAGACCCTAACAAGCCTTGTCTTGCCTCACCTACTCAAAATATTGCTGCATCACTGACATCAAAGCCGCCAAAATCAATTTTCATCAGTTTCAGCTAGTGCTAGAAAGTGGGAGTGACAGTGCTACATATCGCATACATGTGAAAACCGAGAAGCTGGGAAATATCTGCACGTCTGCACTGGAATCACCGATGGAACTGATACCCATCACTAGCAGCCCAAGGAAGGCTCAGCTGCGATCTGCAAATATGCAGTGGGACCCGAACTCTCTCAGAAACTCCGATCCGCCTAGGCTGTGCCTATTTCAGTCTTGATTCACAGGTCCAGCTGCATGAAACGATGTCAGCACGCTCAGTTTTGACGCCCATCCCCCGCACCTACCCGATGCGTAGGAAGAAATGTGCGCTGCGAAAGCGCGCCACGCACTACACACCACGTGTGCTTGGATCTCCCATCGCACACCGTTCCGCGTTTGGTGGGAACTTTGGAGCAGCAGAACTGGCGCGAAAGTGGGTGCGTTCTTGTTAAGCTTGTCTCCGTAAGTGTGGGGTCATCTCCGTGCAACGTCTGTCCAAGTCATCTCTTCAGAAATTGACACTTGTGAGGTCGGAAGACTAGATCGGAACATCAACTGGTTGGTGTTTTCAACCCACGAACGAAAAATATGAGTCAGAGGGCCCAATCATCCCCAGGTAAGGGTTGAACATACAAAATATCCGAAACCATCACCTACTAATAAATACGCGTACACTTCTATATATCACTTCTATATATTATATATCCTATTCCCTGTATGAGTGGATGATGATGATGCAAATGGTTCAGTTGCAGGCCCTCTCTAACATCATTGTTACTGACTGTTGCAGGAAAAAAAGGACAGACCAAGGTCCAGGTCCGGTTCACATGTCACATGGCTCCTGGCTCCGCTTTCTCCACCGGCCTCGGTGTGAAAACGTCCACGATCTCATCCATTCCGCGGAATGGAACTTCGAAGAAGCGTGGGTGGAAAAGTGGACCAATACCCAAAAAAACCATCAAGCAACTCATCAAGCATCAACCCGGACCCCTGCTACTGTGGCATCACTCGCCCAAAGTCCAACCACTTTTGCCAGGACCTCTTTTCAAAGGCGGGAACTCGCTGCCTTTGAATCACCAGCCGCTGCTCCCACGGCCACGACCGCCCAGCGGCGAAAGCGTCGTCGTTCTTCGCGGATCGCGCGACTTCGCGTGCGGCGAGCAGGTGCCCCAGGGCCCAAGGGGGTGGGTGGCTTCCTGGTTGGGATGCGCACGTTTTGGCACATGATCTTGCACATGATCTTGGCACTGTCTG